TAATGAACACGGTGTTTCTGGGTGGATGTGAACTTTAGTTCATGACGTATGAAGCTGGTGGAGGTGTTAGCTTCTCACCCTTCTCTCTCAGATATCTGCATGGGCGAGATCTCTCTGGAAACGTCTCTTTGGTCTGAAGCTTCCAGCTGCAGAGAACCGAGAGCTGAAAGACAAACGTTTTGTTTTTACTCCCTGGAGCCTTTTCTTCACCTTTCACCAGCAGAACCAGCAGAACCAGCAGAACCAGCAGAACCAGCTGACCTCTGACTGAGACACACATGAGGACGACTTCAACCCAACAAGTGGACTGTTTAAACCCAGACGGTACTTTACCTGATACGTCCAGCCCCTCTGGTTCTGCTTCCTCTCTGGGGACCTGCCATCACACAGACACACATCCATCAACCATCTGCTGACGTTTCCCTTCTTCTGCCGGCTTCACACATTTTATCATCTTCACCTCCAGCATCTGCTCCTTCAGCATCTCTGGCTCTCGGCCCTTCTCGGACTCGGTGGACTCGGTGGACTCGGTGGACTCGGTGGACTCGGTGGACTCGGGCCCTCGCTCACTGACCTGCAGGTCAGCGCCTGAGATCGCCGTGACAACCGCAGCCTGTCGCCATAGAAACTCCACCTCTTCAGGCAGGACTGCAGGAGGAGAAGAGCTGGTTGGTTAGTGAGAGGCGGCTGGAGTCACGCTGATCATCTCTGAGCCCTGCAGGTTTTGCATAAAGTGCTTAAAGCCTGCAGAGCATCACAGGTCAGTGTGGGTGAGGGCAGAATGAATCTGCTCTGAATACATTCAGGTGTGAGGTGTTTCCTCAGCGTGCTACTGACAGCTGCAGGGCTTGTTGAGCAGGTCCACAGCAGGTGTGATCCTCTGAGCAGGAGGAGGAAGCAGAACCGGAGGCCTGGTGTGGATCAGAGGGTCGCTGATCTGCTGCTGCTGCTCCTCCTCAGACAGCTGAGTCTCTGGATCGAAGAAGGTCAGCTGCCTCCTCGTCCTCCTCCTGGTCCGGACCTCGGCCCAGGGTTGGGTCTGAAGGAGGACCAGAGACCACATCAACGGCTTCGTCAGGCGCTCATCATAAGGAGATGGTGTCCTCATCACAGTGCATCAAACTCATCATCAGGTTTGTCTCCTGATACTCAGCAGACCAACTTCAGACACTTTAAAGACAGTTTTGTTCCTTCATCATCATCATCATCATCATCATCATCATCATCATATTTTATAGATCTGAAGAAAACCTCCTCTGACTGGTGGAAACAAGAAATTAAATTAAGATTAAATACCAGAAAACTAGAGCGACCCTCTGACAGCAGGAGGTCAGAACAATGCAGTAAAATACGTGATTTAACAAAAGAGCAAAAATCTATGAAACAACGATTAAAATCAAACGAACGTATTTAGTCCCAAACGTCTAGTTTCACTTGTAAATTACCACAAATGTTCTTATACGATGTCAGACATTGTAAGAGAACAACCAAACTACATATATGCACATATATATACATTTACAATAAGTATTTTTTCTTCTGCAATTTTTCTTCTGCGCATATTTCCTTTGCTTTTAAAGCGACATTATAAAAATATTATTTTTTAATTAAATAAATTCATAAATAAATAAAAATGAAAAAATATTTAAAATAAATAAAAAATATATATAAATAAAAATATAAAAATTAAAATAATTATAAATAAATAAAGAATATAAATACAATTTTAAATTTAAAATAATAAAAATAAATTATGATTTTAAAAAATACATTTTATTTATTTGTCTTTATATTTCTACTTTTATTAGCTCTTTTTTCATGGATTCATTCTGATTGCTTTATATTGCCACATTATTTATGTTGTTTATTCTTCTTTTTATTTCCACTTTTATTTTATTATTCTTTTAATGATTTATTTTTGTAATTTGGCCTCTCACTGCTCCATACATTAGGGTTAAAAATCATTTAAAAAAATATGTAATTATCATTTATAAAAACAGACATTTTTAATGTTTATGTACATTTTTGTTTTTTTCATGCAAGTTATTGTCTTTTTTAAAAAATATACTTTTAATCACGATTATTTCTACTTTAACTAAATAATGAACGTTTATAAAATAAAACAGTAAATTGGACAGAAAAGCTTTTTGTCTGTTTCACTTCATTAAACTGTTTTTTTGACTGAATACAGACGATCCGTCCACAAATCCAGTTTATAAAAACTGTTTCACTGCATTACGGGTTCTACACGTCAGAACAGAACCTCCAGCTCGGGTCTTCCTCTACGGGGTTCTGCTGCCGGTGCTGGTGGGGGGATGGAGGCCAAGACTGGAGTCAGCTGGTCTGAGGGCGGTCCGGGCTCCTCGCTGGGCAGAACCGCTTCTTCTGTGGGCAGGACCGGTTCCTCAGGTGATGGAACCGGTTCTCCAGGTGACTGAACCGGTTCTTCAGTGGGCAGAACCGGTTCTTCGGGTGAGCGAACCGGTTCGTCAGGTGATGGCTCCTCGGTGGGCTCCAGTGGCAGGTTGTCAGCAGAGGTGGCGGTGGGCTGTAATCTGACAGAACCAGAACCAGTCAGTGCACCTTCACAGAACCAGAACCACATGAAGGGTCATTAATACAACAGCTTGAATCATTGGACCGACCCGTTAAAGTCCGACTCCTGAACACTGAGATTCTGTATTTTCTGTTTCATGTGAAACTTTCTTCTTAGTCGACGGTGAATGATGGTTTCTGGTCTTCTGAAGTCTGTGGATCACTTCCTGTCTGAACGTCTGCTTCAGCACCAGAACTTTTCTGTGTTGACTTCCTTGAAGCTGCCGGATGCTACCGACTGAAGCTAACGCGCTAGCTCTACTTGTTTCCTGCTTTAACGTCAGCTGGAGGAGACGACCAGCACCAGGCTCAGCTGTCAGTCTTCATTGCTCTTGAGCGTTTCCTGCCGGCTCCTTTCAGGGCTGCAGTGACAGAACCAGAACCAGCGGATCAGCCTGAGCTCCTGCTGGGTGGATTACTTACTCAGTGATGGATCCTGTGAGCTCCTTGGGCCTCTCCTCCTCCTCCTCCTCCTCGCCTCCTTCCCTCTCCACCTCCCTCTCCGGCTCCTCTGGCGGCGGCGGCACCACGTCTCCTGTCAGACAAACAGCAGCCTCCTGAGCCAGAACCAGGTTTACATGTTTGACTGCAGCATCAAGTCCTGCAGCTCAGAGGAACCAGAACCACATGAAGGAGGAGACAGAACTCAGAGATGTCTTCTGTCAGCAGGACTCAGTCAGAACCATGGAGAACATCACTGTGATTATTATGAACCTGAGAGCTTTTCGTGGATACAGAGTCACCAGAGAGACGCTGGTCAGACGACACGGTGCCGGTCGCTGGGTTTTGGGGTTCAGAAGGTCTCAGAAAGTTTATCTGAACGAGAGTCTCTTCTTCATTTATGGTTTTCTGGTCTGAGACAGAACACACACCTTCTGGGAAGTGATCGGTCTGAGCCATGAGGAGGTCGATGGTCTCCCGGTCATCGTCAGCAAAGTCCACACCTTCAAACTACCGAGGAGAAGAACAAGCATGAAGCAGGGAGAAGGTCCGACACGTCTGACTGGGATGTGCTGGTCCTCACCTCCGCAGATGGGATGGAAGCCGCCGGAGACTCCTTCAGAGTGATGGAGTCTGGAGACGCCGTGATGGCTGCAGACACAGGACGGGATGGAGTTAGACAGAACCAGAACCAGAGGATCAGAGGTCAGAGGGAGAACCAGCAGCTCTGCACCGTGTGGAGGCTGCTGAGCTGTTGATCTTCATATCTGCAGAAACTCCAACACTGATGACACGTTTTTATTCATTTCACTTTTCTGAGAAGCTTTTTTTTTTTTACTTTCAGTTAAATTCTTGGTCCTCTTGATAAACGTAGTTTAGAGTCGACTGCATGTCGACCAGCAGGTTCACCTGAAGACAGCTGGACATGATGAGTTCTACCAAACTGTGACCCAACAAACCGTCAAAACGACCAAAACCAGCCACAAACTGTCCACAGTGACTTCAGACGTGGTTGAAATCACTGGAAACGGGTCAGAACCAGCTAAAACGGGTCAGAACCAGCTAAAACTGGTCCGGACTTTCCTCTGGGATTCATAAAGTCAGTCTAAGTCTAACCCATCCTCCTCTCAGCAGAACTCTGTGTTTTCAGCTCCTCCTACCGTCTGCTGCAGCAGCTGGACCCGGTTCTGGACGTTCAGGAGAAGCTTCCTCCACAAGTTCTTCACTGGCCTGGAAACACAGAACAGAGGAGAGCTTAGACGGCGTCCGGCTCGGTCTCTGTGCATGTTACCGTCGTGTGCTGCCGGTGTTGACCCGTATGAGAGCCGTGGGACTCGACATCGTGTCCTGCAGCTGCATGACTCCAAACAGAGGGTCCGGAGCTCCTTCGGCCTCTTGCAGCAGCGCCAAGGCGTCGGGCAGAACCAGAGACTGTCTGAGGAGGTCGGAGAAGCTCTGGTTAGATCCCAGCTGGAGATGTTCTGATCCATAAATCAGATACTCTCTGACATTGTTTATTAAAATCTGAACCTGACCCACTTCCAGCAGGTTTATCATCACGTTTAATCTGAGTCTGAACAAACGACGGATCTATAATCAGATTATTGATCTACAGGTTCTGGATCAGTGACGTGATGAGACTCAACAGAACATTCCAGGTTTGATCTCTAATAGTTCCTCACATGTTCTTAACGTGATGATCAACCTGCTGACGGGTTGACAAGCAGCTTTTTAAAGCATCTCAGAAAGTCTCTGATCTGGACCTCAAACGTTCTAAACATCTCATTAATGTTCATATGTTCTGTATCGACCCGGCGGTTCTGTTCCGACCTGCTGCTGTCGTCCAGGTCGATCTTCAGACCCGTCTTCTGCTTCACCAGTTGACCCACAACAGACTGGAGCTCCTCTGAAAGAGCACAAGTTCAGCGTTAGAACCAGAACCAGAGGTTCTGCTGTGGACCGGCTGCCGGGTTCTTACCCAGCAGGATGACGCACTGCCGGTGGAAGACCAGAACCACTCCGTACTGCAGCTGGGAGGACAGGTAGAGGGAGAACCGGGGCCGGGGCAGGCCGGGCCGCGGAGGAGGAACCTTCTCCAGAACATAGTCCATGATGTCGTCGCTGTGAACCGCCGGCTCGTTAGAACATCAGAACCAGATCAGAACCAGAGCAGAACATGACAAAGGACTGGGAGGTTCTCACCAGGTGCTCTTCACGTTGACCTTCAGGAAGTCTCGACGAGTCACTTTGATGCCTTTTGTAGCGACGAGCCTGGAAGAGATCCACACGTCACCGAGTCACCGAGTTACAGAGTCACTGAGTTACAGAGTCACTGAGTCACAGAGTCACTGAGTCACCGAGTCACCGAGTCACTGAGTCACCGATTCACTGAGTCACCGAGTTACAGATTCACTGAGGACAAGAGTCAGAATAAACGACTGAAGATACAACAAACCCCCAGAACCCTACAGACAGGAGACCCGGAGACCTGGAGACCTGGAGACCTGGAGGTGATGAGCCTCACAGAGTTCAGTGTCACTGAAACATGTTCTTCTGTTGAATAAAGGATGTTTGTTCAGGTTTATCAGGTCACGTGTCTGTGATCGAGTCCAGCTGAAGATGTTCTCCAGACCAAAGGGATGAAACCGACTGAAGGTTCTGGAAACAAGCTGCAGACGACAAACTGCTCAAGTTGGTGATGAAACAAAAAAAAGGACTTCAGACTTTAGAGAAACGACTCGTTTGTTTAAATGAGGTAAAAAAAAGAGCAAAACGACTTGAAACTTGTCCCGAGTTACTAAATTTGTCCAGATTGCCTGATGAGCTGAAACCTGCTCCTACATGTGCGAACAAATGACTTTAAACGAGTCCACATACGGTAAAAACTCGTCTAAAATGAGTTTATAAATCTGCTTAATGAGGTAAAACGTGTCCAAGCCGGGCTGAACCTGAACAGTGACTTGTTAAAGCAGGTCTACGAGTCGTGTAGTAACTCCCAGCAGGTCTCTGATTGGACCAGGAGGAATAAATCAGCCTCTCATTGGTTCTCCTCAAACGTTTCATCTTCAAAGTTGTTTTTGTTTCTGATCTAAACTCTGGTCTCGCTGCACCTGCAGACGTCCGTCCGTCCGTCCGTCCGTCCAGCGACTCTGACTGCAGCTGAAATGTGCTTTAAAGGCAGAACTATGAGCTTCTTCCAGCAGATGGAGGGAACCAGGACCAGGAGGGAGGAACCGCTCCAGCTTTAAACTCCTCATGAACACCATGAAGCACTTCACAGCCGGCTTCTGTCATTAAAGCTTTAAAAGCAGAAGCTCAGGAGGGTTCTGAACGTCGACTTGAACCCAGAGGAGCTCGAGTCTCCGGACAGAAGGAAACTCTGGAATCAAGTCTGTTTAGAGTTTCCATCAAACATCTCCAGTAAGTCACAGGTTCCTCCATCAGCAGCGTTCTACTCACCAGATGGTAGAAAAACATCCTGAGTGACGCTTCAGCACCGCCGGGTAGTAGAACATGGTCCGGTCCAGGAGCAGGTCCACGAGCAGATGAAGTCTGACGAGTTCCTCCGACCACTGAAGGCTGTTGATCCACTTTGTTTACTTTATTGATTCCTGTTCAGACGAGCTGATTGGTCAGAAAACAACAACAAGGTCTGATCGCTTCATTGGCTGGAAACAAGAAACGAGCTGATGCTGGAGCTTCATGTTCTAACATCTGAGCAGGATTCATGGACGGCTGATTAAGAACGAACATTTATTAATTAAAAACTGGGACGACAGCTGGTTTAACGAATTGATTCAGAAATAAAGAGTTCAGGCTGAAGCTGTAAAATTAACACATGAAATAATAAATGCTGCTAAAAACCTGCTCACAAGGTCCCAGAAACACACACACACACACACTGAAACAGTGAAAAACACCAGCCGCTGGTTTAAATCCAGTCAAATGCTGTAAAACGTTCACATAAAGAACGTTCACATTAGAGAACGTTCACATAGAGAACGTTTACATTAGAGAACGTTTACATTAGAGAACGTTTACATTACAGCGTTTACTCTACAACCAGCTGTGTTCCCAGTAGACCCACAACGTGCAATATCCCATTCTATAACTAACATACCACTACCTCTCATTTGCTCTACCTCTAATATGTATGTATATATCTACATTGCACTGCTTATTATTATTATTATTATTGTTATTGTTATCACTATTATTATTATTATTATATACTTAAATCCCTATCTTTTTATATATAAATATAAATATACATATATATATCTTTTCTATATTCCCCCCATTCAGAAG